ATAGATAGATAGATAGATAGATAGATAGATAGATAGATAGATAGATAATTGAGTTTAATGATCCAGTTGGCCCCCCACCTCCTTTTAGGGATTGAACCTAGGGCCTCACACATGTTAGGCAAACACTGAGCTACCTCTCCTGTCCTATTTTTGTTTTGAGACAAGTTCTCAAGAGTTTCCCAAGGCTGGCCTGGAATTTGAGATCCTCCTGCCTGAGCCTCTGGAATAGGTGGGAATACAGGCATACTCCACTGCACCTGGCTAGAAGGGACTGCTTTATGGTGCCAGCTCATGTTGACTGGGCCCCTTCTGACTAGTTACTGTGAATCTTCTGGGGTATTTGTTTTTAAACTGAAAAAAGAGTTTTGGTTTTTTATGGGTGTGGGGGCGGGTATGTGCTGGGGATTGAACCTGGGGTCACTTTACCACTGAGCTACATTCCCAGTCTTTTTTTATTTTTTATTTTGAGACAGGGTCTCACTAAATTGCTGAGGCTGGACTTGAACTTCCAGTCCTGCTGCCTCAGCCTTCAAGTCGCTGGGATTATAAGCATACATGTACCACCTTGCCCAACTAAACTATCGCATTTCGAAGTTTAGTCTGACTACATGGCATCCAGCAGGAGTGACTCCATTCTAGTTTGGTTTGGTCTACTACAGGAGCTTGAAACAAAAGGGAGCTATCACAAATTTTATGTAGTAGAATATATACAGCTTAAGCTCCCTTTTCTCTTTTACAATACTGCCTTAAGTCATTGCTGTCTTCTTATATTACCACAGCCAAAATTAAATTTAGCCACAAAGTCAGTTACTTTCCAGTTGGCCTTTTCATTATCTCTTCCATTGTATCCTAAACCAAGATCCAAGCCCCAAAGTTAAAAATAACCCATTGTCCAGCCTGCTAGACAAACAGCAACTGCCTTGGTTGGCACAAAACTTTAAAGTGGGAGTGCATTTAACTCCTTCCTCACTGCTGAACCAAATTCTAGGGGTTGGGAAACTTTTTGTTGAATGTTAAGAGTGCATGAAAATTTTCCTATGCTCATAAATGAATACATGGCCAGTGTAACTCCACACCATTACAACCACAAGAATGGGAAATTATACTCCTATATATATAATATGTCAAAATACATTCTATTGTCATGTATAACTAAAAAGAACAAATTAAAAAATATAGAAAAAATTTTTAAAAAGAGTGTGTGGAGTTAGGAGACCTCAGGAATAATCTGCTGCTTTGTCATTAGGAGGTAATAAATCAACAGCTTGCTGTTGTTGGGTGCTGTGGTGCACACCTGCAATCCCAGCAGCTTGGGGGAGGCTGAGGCAGGAGGATTTCGAGTTCAAAGCCAGCCTCAGCTACTTAGCAAAGCTCTAAGCAGCTTAGTAAGACCCTGTCTCTAAATTAAAAAAAAAAAAAAGCTGGGGGATGTGGCTCAGTGGTTGAGTGCCCCTGGGTCCAATCCCCAGTACCAAAAAAAAAAAAAAGCTTGCCATAGCATTCTGTGGGGAATGTTATCAAATGTACTTAATTCCTGGTATGCAGTTTTGATTATCTTTTTCTAAAATTTCATTAATCTAGGACTTTTTTTGATTATTGACTTCAAAAAAATCTTAAACAGTAACTTTAATTCATAATATAAGCATATTGTAAGAATATCATACAGCATAGTAAATAAAAAAAAAAGTGAAAATTCCTCTTCTCCCAAAACTCCCAGTTTTATTTCCTAGAGTCACTTAAGAATTGTGTGCATCTTTCCAGCAAATAGGTATATCCTGTAACAAAACATGCACAAATGTGGTCACACTAGATATACTGTTAGGTCACACTAGATATACTGTATATTTCTTCATTATCTGCCTTGCAGATAATCCACCTCTTTTCAGTGGCTGCAGAGTATCATTTGTTAATCATCATACAGAGTATTTAAGATTCGTTGTCCCTAAAGGTGCTACAATGATCCAGAGCCCTTCTTATACCTGTATGGTAACATATTGTGTGGATTATCTATAAATTCCAAGTCAAAAGATAAGTGCTTTTTGAATCTATAGATTTTGGTAGCTACAAACAGCCCCTGACTTGCAATTGTTGGATTGTTAATTCTTTCAACTTTATGATGGTGCAAAATTGATATGTATTCAGTAGAACTTGTACTTCAAATTTTGAATTTTGATCTGCATACCCTTTCTTACTAGTGATATGTGGCATAATACTCTGTTAATGCTCTTAGTGACAGCCAGCCACAGCTCCCAGTTAGCTGAACAGTCACAAGGGGAAACAAGTGATACTTTACCGTGTGTGTGTGTGTGTGTGTGTGTGTGTGTGTGTGTGTGTTGTTAAGCAATGGTTTTTTGGGTTTTGTTTTGGTATTGGTACCAGGGATTGAACCCAGGGACACTTAACCACTGAGCCACATCCCCAGCCCTTTTTTATATTTTATTAGAGACAGGATCCACTGAGTTGCTTAGGGCCTCACTAAGTTGCTGAGGCTGGGTTTGAACTTGCAATTCTCCTGCCTTGGCTTCCCAAGTCACTGGGATTACAGGTGTGAGCCACCACGCCTGGCTAGCAATGTTTGGTAGGTCAGGTGTTTCACATGCATTTTTAAAAAATATTTTTAGCTGTAGATGGACACAATATTTATTTTTTAATGTGGTGCCGAGATTCAAACCCAGCACCTCACACATGCTAGACAAGTGTTCTACCACTGAGCTACAACCCCAGTCTCTCACATGCATTTTTTACTTGGTATTTTCAGTTTACTATAGGTTTATCAGGATGTAAAATTTCCTTCATAATGGAGGATCATCTGTATTAACAAACTGCTTTCCAAAAAAGCTTCACCAACTTATAATTCCATCAACGTTGTATAAGAACACCCATTTGTTTCCATCTTCACTGACAAAGTTTTTTCAAACTTTAATTTCTTCCATACTATTAATAGGTGAAAGTAGATTTTATTTCATTTTGTTTTCTTTATTATGAATTAGGAAGAACATAGATTTATTTAATATAAATATTTGTTGGTTGCTTTTGATTTTTAAGAATCAGAGGGTTTTGTTTTGTTTTGTTTTCATTAAACACTTTGTTGACCATTTCTTATGGTTTTGGTGCTTTCTGTAGAAAATAATCTTTCTCAATTGTGTAATAAGTGAAATACTTTTGGGGGCAGATCAAGTTTTCTTTATCTTTTTAACCCTTGGTTACTTTGTGTTGAACTAGTAGTATTTCAGTTGATTCCTCCATCTCTCTGCTTTGGCAAGATCTTCTGCAATAGCTTTAATCATTTGATCAGTAGTTTTTTTCAAAATGGTTGCTGTCTTTAGGGCATGATCCAAAGCCGAGTTTAAAATCTACAGAGGAAAAGTCCACATGTTTTAGTTACATAAACTTACTAATGTTTTTGGTAATTGGCTTCTTTCATTATTAAACATTGCAAGATGGAATTTTTGGAGCATTCTGTTTTCCACACAGTTTATTTCTGTTTTTGAGGGTTAGTTTCCTAGGAAACCAGTCAGATGGAATATATTTGTTAGGGAAAGGGAGAGAGAAAAGATCAACGTGTGACTGATGAGCATGAATCAGAGGGTGAGGTCAGCAACCTGCTGATCTGTTTCCCTGCTGCAGAGAAAGAAAAAAAGAAAAGTTCTTAGGGGGCATTAAAGGGGTCCCAATTAGGGGCCATACCACTGAGAGACCACCCAGGGAGACAGTGCACAAATGTGGAACATCTGAAAGTGGCCTGAGGATAAGTGTTACTGGCTTGAAAATAGGAAACTGCTGGCAATCCTAACCACAGTGTCACTGGAACACACTCCAGACCTTCAAGCCTGGGCCAGGGGAATCCTGCAGCATAGGCACCACCCACAAAACACTTTCTCCAGGAAATGTCCTTTGGAACCAATTTAGGAATGATACAAACCACATGGCAGGTCTCTAGGTTAGTACTGAGCACAAAATGCTTTTAACATAGCATTTTCTGAAAACCTATACTGTAATGACTTAAAAGCTAGTAGTTCTGTAGTTTTAAGATTAAACTTATGAGGTGCAAGAATCTAGAACCTTTTTTCTAAGTCCTCACCTTAGATTCTGTTTCTTCAGAGCCACATAAGGATTTGCTTCCAGGAATCCTGAAGGAGTGAAAAAGGAGTAAAGGTATTGCAAGTCTGAGCTGTAGGTCATGAAAGTCTTAAGATTTTAGATTTTTTTTCTAGAAGGCAAAAACACATTCATTGGTACTTGTGTAAAGTGCCACCCTCACGTATACCCTCCTGTTCCAGTCAGCACTGGTTTAGTAAAAGGCTCTTTGGGGGCTGGGGTTGTGGCTCAGTGGTAGAGCGCTGGCCTAGCACAGATGAGGCCCTGGGTTCAATCCTCAGCACCTCATAAAAATAAATAAATAAATAAATAAAATAAAGATATTGTGCACAACTATTATTAAATATTTTTTTAAAGGCTCTTTGGGGGCAAGAGGTTGGGACGATTCATACATGTGTGTACATACACACAGCCTTTCATAGCTCGTTTGTCCTGTGGACTTACCACCAACCACAGCTGACTTCGGAACAAGGTTGTTGCCATGATCAGGAGGGCACAATTCTTCTAGAATTGGCCTCCTTTTTCTTTGAAACAGACAGGCAAGACTCCAAAGGGATTTTTACCTCATTTTCATTCTTGGGGGGACCAGTCTTATACCCTGAATATTTATAAAACAAATACACATATAAAATTGCCAACCATAAGGCACCTTGGATAGAGTTTATCCTAGCACCAATGAGCTTACACAGTAAGGAAGCTGAGGCGGTAGAAAAATAAAAGAAGCATCTCTTTTAAGTCAATAGGCCCCCCTAGACTACTACACTATAATTATGGTTCTGTTGCTGAGGGATGGCCCTAAGTCTGCACTGGGTGACTGGAATGCCAGGGCCATTGTATTGTTCATTGTATTGTTCATAACTAGGGGGTTTATTCACATAGCATGTATGATGGGCAATGCAAGTAGTGATGCTTTTTTCAACCATGAGAAAGTAGCCCTGAGAGCTGCCATATAGACTTGCCTGTCCATCCTTGCTTCATCCCTCTACTAAGCCTTACTTTGGTACTTGCATTTATGAGCAATAACATCTCCAAAAAGACTTACTTCATATACTTGTGACCTCAGAACCTCCCTTCATCCCTCTTTCCTTACCACATTAACATTAGTTGGTTCTGCTGTTTAGCACATTGGATCTGACCTCCACATAAGTGTTGTCCATTCTGCATCAGGGTCCCCTAGCTGATGAAAAATGGCTGGGGGTGGCAGTGGGCAGTGGTGCAGTGGGAAGAGCATGGGCTTTACCCTGTGTCCAGTTATCATTTTCAATAATATTAATAACAGCTGTCATTTGCTTAGTAATTTTTATGAACTGGGTACCATTCTCAATATTTAATGTATTGACTCAATCCTCAATGAATTTGCACTATTATTAATTTCCCTGTTTTACATATGGGGAAAGAGAGGCACAGAGAAGTCAAATAACCTGCCAAAGAGCACAACCAAAATGGAAACCCCAGAAGTCTTCAAAGACTACATTTTTAAGCCCAATGCTGTACTATGATAGTGGGTAGTAGATTCAGACTGAGTTGATCTGATCACAGAACTGAATTATTAGGCACCCTGCTTGCTATTGGTTCTGCCTCTTGAATGCACATACTTCTGTCTCCATGACTACTATTGTCCCACCTGGATCACTGCATTAGCCTCTTTATTTGGCCTCTTTGTTCCACCTTTGGCTCCTCGAGCCTATTTCAAAGTGAATTAATACATTACAAAACTCTCTTCCTTGGTTTCCCATCATTCCCAGATAAACACATTGTATGCATCTAACCAATGATAGCTAATTTTGTGACTTTTAGTAATAACAAAATGATACTTACTTTCCAGGTGTGGGCTCATGTTCACCTTGAAAGGATTTCGAATTCACTCTCTGGGAACAGATCCGTTTTGGTTTTGGACAAACTGAAAATGATTAGCTATGATTAAATTGAGAGCAAAAAAATGATCCCCCAAATTAAATAAACTTCATTTGAAAACAAAACAATTCCCAGATGATGATGTATATCATCTTCCTGAACTTTTCAATGTGAATAAAATATTTCATAAAATTTTAATAAATATGTAAATAAAGGAAACACAGAAAACAAGGAATTTTCTATCAAGTCTTCTGAATTCATGAAAAGAAGGGCAACTTTTAAAAGGAATTCTATTAACAGACAAGAGACCAAGAGTTAAGAATCTTAAGGTGTTTGCTGTTAACCAGGGCTTGTTGTCCAACTTCTGTGGCTCAAATACTTTATCTGATAAATGGAGAGATAATAGCTTCCAAGAGATTGGAAGTTCCTGAAATCCTCTCCAACTTCAGAGTGAGAAATCTAGGAGTCAAAAATTATCAATTATGTTAACACAATTCTGAGTTGGGCGTGGTGGTACATGACTATAATCCCAACAACTCAGGAGGCCAATGTTCAAGGCCAGCCTTAGCAACTTACTGAGACCCTGCATCAAACTTAAAAAGGGCTGGGGATGTAGCTCAGGGGTAAAGTGCCCCTGGTTCAATCCCCAGCACACACACACACACACACACCCACACACCCCAAAAAGATAATTTGAGACTAAACAGAAAAGAAGTATGTAGGGGGGCTGTGGTTGTGGCTCAGCAGTAGAGCGCTCGCCTTGCACGTGCGGGGCTCTGGGTTCAATCCTCAGCACCACATAAAAATAAATAAACGAAATAGAAGTATTGTGTTCAACTACAACTAAAAAATAAATATTTTTTTTTTTAAAAAGAAGTATGTAGGAAAGTCACCATGAAAGATAAGAAGAAAGAAAAAGGAAGAGGGACAAGCCATCAGCTAGCAAATCTGCTGAGGTCCCTTCTTCTCCATTCTTTCCCTGTTTTTCTCTTCCTCTTTTCTCTATCTTCCTGCTTTCTCAATCCTGGTCTCCTGCTGTATTCACTGGTGTTTAGTAGCCAGGCTTCGCTTCCATCCAAAGGGTCCCACTGGACAAGGGAAACTGGAAGGGATTGTCCCTCAGACATGGAAGGCAGGACAGAAGCCAAAAAGTCCAGATTTTAGTCTTGCTGACCACCTGGCATTGGGTCATGATGAACGGAGGCACTAATGAGCTCAATCATAATTTTTTGGTAATCTCCAAATGTAACTTTGGATTTTGTTGGAAACATAGAAACTCAGAAAAGACCACAGGGTCATCAGATCCAGTTCTAGTCTAGTCCACAGATCTATAATATCGGACAACGTACATTGTCTCCCAGATGGGGCTCAAGGCTTGCAACAGCCCACTCCATTTTCTATCAGCTCCAATTACTGGAAGGTTCCTTTCCAACACTGGAAAAAAGCTGCCTCTACCCTCTTAGTCACTGTGACTTCTACCCTCTTAGCCACTGTGTTTACTAAGAGTTCAAGATCACATTTCAGTGGCTCAGGTGTATTCCTCATACATGTATTGGAATAACAGTTCCCAAGACTGAGGAGATAGTAAAGAAATCTGCTTCTGCAGGGTCTCAGTGACTTTCACTTTGAGAGAATACATCTCACTGGAGGATTTGGCAGCTGGCGGTGAGTAGGGGAGACACAGCTGAGGTCAGTCAGGTAAATGACATTGTTTAATTGGGCACTAGCAATAGGGAAAAATAAGAAAATTCTCCCTGGTCTCCTGTCCCCAGGGGAAGAGTTCTGAAGGGATGAAAGAAAGGATGTGGCCCATGTGGGAGAATTAAATGTGGCTGTCACTAGGGTAAAACAAGAAGTATTTTCTTCTGTCCTTCATGTTCCCATGGCGCACCACATTTTGCCTTGAACTTTCCTTATGTGCAGATAAGTTCCTTTCTGTAATTGGAAACCCCTTGAGAGGGAGGAGCCATGTCTTAGTCATCCTTATAAATAAATGTGGGATTTTAATTTTCTTGAAAGACAGCAAAATTTCACATTGAAAATGAGCTATATGATGTCTAAGAAATATAAAAATGTTCTATTTTTTTTTCTACATGCTTTTAGAAAGGATATATTTAAAGCTGTAACCACTCTGAATAGTGGTGATTATTCAGTCATTTGTTCAGCAAACATTTATGCTTTGTTACTGATTTGCACTGGTGTAACAATAACTTTCAAAGTCATTTATCGCTAGGATTTTATATTTCTCACCCCCCACTATCCTCTTGCCACCCAGGTGTAGGGCTGAATTTGGAAGTGTCAGGTGAGTGCAGGACACCTGGGCAGCAGACTGGAGAGGGCAAGGCTCTCCAGGGGGAAGCAGTGGCCAACGTCACAAGGGCAACCCACACAGACAGGATCCTGCAGGGGATGTACTTACGAGGTGAAGAATTTTTATTTTCATCTGAAGACTGGACAAAAGCACCTTTTCTGCTATGATTTAAGTAATTCTGTCCTGGGGTGTTATATCTATAATAAAATTCTAAGAAGAAAAGATTACAAATGCAATTCATTGCTTGGAAACAACTGCTCTCACTACTTAGCCTTGCAGAGGCCCCCAAGTTGGTCTCACCGTTCAGTGGTTCTTTACTGCAGACTTTTCGGTAGTTATGAATATTATTGCCACAGTCCTCGCATTTGTTCCTTTGCCACCCAGTGTCAGAACCAGAACAGAACCTGGGTTCTGTGTCGGAACCTAAGAAAAGCCCAAGTTACACAAAGGAGGTGTGAGTTTCTTGAGTATAGTCATTAAATGTGGTGTGGAGAGTAGGGTTGTAACACACAGGGTATGCATTAGACACCAAAGTGTTCACCTCCTCGGCTGTGTTTCCAAGGGATGTTGTCAGCAGGAGAGGAACATCTTGGATCCTCCTCTGACAACAGAGATATTTTGGTAAGTGACAGATCTGATAATGAAAGTCTCAAGATGTGCCTAGTACATATATAGATGCACGTCTGCTGAGTGAGTGGGTCTGTGGGAATTTGACCCAGTGAATTAGACAATGTTGCATTTGTAGGTTTTTTTTTTTTTTCCCCAGACTTACCCTGATACATCCATATTCTTAAACTCAGACTCTGCTATGGTCAAGAGCTTTTGTTTTGTCATCTACACAACTGAAAAGATCATTTTCCTGTATGTGGCATTCGTAAGTCCATGAGAATCTGAGTGATAACTTTACTCTCTTAGCTAAGAGGCTAGGTAGCAGCAGAGAGCTCCAGTGCCTGGTACAGATCTAGAACTTGCTGGGCGGTGGAATTCCCCAGGGAGGGCCAGAGCGTGAAAGCACAGGGCCAGACAGGGGAGTATGTAAGTATGAATCACCAATGGAATGAGTTTGAACGCCTGTGGTTAAACATGACTCTGGTACTTATTAGCTGTGATAGTTCAAAATATGTCCACAAATTCCTTGACACTCTCTTAAATGATGGATCCTGGGCTGAGGTGTAGCTCAATGGTAGAGCACTTGCCTAGCACTCAATCCCCAGCACCACAAGGGGAAATAAAGGAGCCTAATTCATCCCTGGGAGGGCTGGATTTAGTGACTCAATTCAAACAAATAAGTGATGATGGCTTATAGCATCCAAAACGAGACCATAAGAGACATCGAGGCTTCCACCCCTCTCCCCTCTCCCCTCTCCCCTCTCCCCTCTCCCCTCTCCCCTCTCCCCTCTCCCCCCCCCCCTCCCCCTCCCCCTCTCCCTCTCCCTCTCCCTCTCCCTCTCCCTCTCCATCACTTGCTCCAGAGAAAGCTGGGCACCATGTCATGACCTGCAAGCAGCCTATTGCAGAAGCTCATTTGGCAAGGAGCTAAGACCTCCTGCCAATGACCACGTGTGTGAACCACCTTGGAAGCAGCTCCTCATGCTTCAGTTAATCCTTCAGATGACTGCAGCCCTGGTTTTTAGGTTTGAATGTAACCTTGTGTGAGCCTGAGCCAGCCAGCTGAGCCAGCTAAGCCGTTCCCAAATTCCTGATCCACAGAAACTGAGATATTTTAGATTCATTGTTTTGAGTCATTAAATTCTGGGATACATGATTACACAATGATGGATAACCAATTACACTACTTCTTTGACCTTGATAAGCCACTTAATTTCCCTGAGCCTTCATTTCCTTATTAAAGATAATAATTCCTACCTTAAAGGAGAGTTGTAATCATTAAATGACACTATGTCAATGGCTCTCAAACTTTTGATTTCAGAATCTTTCACACTTTTACAATTGAGGACACTCTACAACATGTGTTTATGTGGGGATTTTTAAAAATCTACCACATAATATATGCCAGTTTATATACCTGAAGTTAAATATATCCTTCTGATTTGGAGAAGAGCTATCATACAACATTCAGTCAACTGAGGATGAATTGGTAGAGATGTCTTTATATATAAATTGCAAATAATTTCTGTATTCAGATTTCCCAAGACTGAATGGATGCTTCTGGGGTTTTTGTTTAAAAGAATTTTAAACTGACACATTTTTAAAATTTTATTGTGTCATTTAAAAATAATAAGGGCTAAGACCAGGTATGGTGGCACATGCCTGTAATTCCAGCAGCTCGGGAAGCTGAGGCAGGAGAATCGCAAGTTCAAAGCCAGCCTCTGCAAAAGGGATGTGGAAAGCAACTCAGTGAGACCCTGTCTGTAAATAAAATACAGGGCTGGGGATGTGGCTCAGTGGTTGAGTACCCTGAGTTCAATCCCTAGTACCTGCCCCCCAAAATAATAATAATAATAAGGACTACTAGGGCTGAGGTTGTAGCTCAGTGGTAGAACTCTTGCCTAGCATGTGTGAGGTACTGGGTTTGATCCTCAGCACCACATAAAAATAAATAAATAAAATAAGAGTATTGTGTCCTTCTACAGCTAAGAACAATTTAAAATGATAATAATAAGGGCTGAGGATGTAGCTCAGTATCACCAAAAATAACAATAAGCAGAGCTCTGTGGCTCGTGCCTATAGTCACAGCTATTTGGGAGGCTGAGGCAGGAAGACATCTGAGCCCAGCCATTCAAGGCCAGCCAGGGTAACACAGCAAGACTGTATCTCTAAAAAATAAATAAATAAAATAATAGGCTTATGTTAACAAAATAACATGTTTTTAATAAAAATAAACTATGTTCCAAATGTTTTAGAAATGAGAAGAGTGTTATTATTTTATATTTTGGCAAATTAAAGGTCTGGCTTAATAGAAGGCAGCTGAATTCCACAGCTGTATCTCCATCAATCTGTTACAATATTGGCCTTGCTGGAAAAGGGGTGGACCTCATGGCCTCTCTGAAAGGCCCTCTGACCACAGCTTGAAAACCCCTACTCTGTTGTAGCATCTGGTATTAAGTGTTAATCCATGAGACCTCTTAATTGAAAAATGTACCATCACAGAGAGCCCAGATCAGAACGGAAAGTGACCTAACAATACGGAGCTGAAGGCAAGGCTCTGGCAATAGGGTGTGTGATTGCAAGTCAGTCACACCAGCCATCTGGCCTCCAGCTTCCTCCAAGTTGGGCTCCAGCAGTGACGTTCAAGCTCAGGAGTGGCCTGAGCAGGCAGGCCTCTGGCCCCGCTTCTTCATTCACCAGGACAGTTCTGCCAGGGAATGCTTCTCTGCTTAAACTAGCCTGGGAGAAAGGGTCTTAAGACTAAAATCATTGAATTCCATGTACTTGTGCCCTCTGGGTCTCCTGCCAGTTCTAAACTTTATTTGCTTCTATGAAATATGTTTGAACAAGTCAGCAGCAACCCCCGTGATGCTGTTAACCTTCCCACGGACAGTTATGGGTCATGCTGGGCAAAAGATGGACAGATCGACCAGATTCCTCTGTGACTCTAGCTAGAAACAGGTGTTGGCACTTCATCCTACTTAACCACATCTTTTTTTCCACATTTTTTACTGATGCCTTATAGTTGTACATAATGTGGGATTTGCTGTTCATATTCATACATGCACATGATATAACAATATAATTGGGCCAATATGAATCCCCAGTATTTCCCTTTCCCTCTCCTCTTCCTTCTCCCTGGTCCCTTTCTTCTGCCCCACTATCTCCCTTTGATTTTCATGAGATCCCACCCCTCCACCTTCCTTTTCCTTTTTCCTCTCTAGCTTCCATATCCAAGAGAAAACATACAACTTTTGCTGAGTTTGACTTATTTCGCTTAACATAATGCTCTCAAGTTCCATTCATTTTCCTGCAAATACATGATTATCATTTTTCTTTATATTTGAATAAAACTCCATTGTGCACACATACCACATTTTAAAAATCCATTCATCCATGGAAGGACACTTAGACTGGTTTCATATTTGGCTATCGTGAATTGTGCTGCTATAAACATGTTAATCACATCTTTTTAAAAATCTACTCAATCATTCTTCACATTTTGGAAAAAAAAAAAAAACACATACAACACCTTAGTGCAGAGCAATGTTATTTGAGTGGCAGACAGCAAGCTGTGGCCAGATGCCCCACAATGAAGAACCCCAAAGATTGAGCACCCACAGCCGCAGCCCCTCCACTCACCGAGAGTTGAACGTTGGCGCAGTGCCTTTTCATGAATGACAACTGAAAGCCTTCCACAGTCGATCTGTCTATGGCCTTTTTTCTCCATGTTTTGCTTCCTAAAAAAGGTGCATAATATCCCAGAAACTTTTAGTTTATTTCTCATAGAGAAAGGAAAAAGTACTAGTAAACTGAAATGTTAAATATATCAGAGCCTGGAATAATGTAGGAGAGGCCGGTCATCCTCAACACAGAGGTCCCCTCTGCCCTTCTGTTTGGGAACCTCCCTCTTAGAAATTGCACCCAGCACAATTTGGTCTGATAATAATATATTTACAAAACATTAAAAATGAATATTTTGTTCCATAAAGGATGATACCTAATCATCATATACACATATACAAAATAGAAAATTGAAGTATGGAAGTGTATAAATTGTTTTCCTCATAGTTATGCCTCAAAATCAATTCTTATCTGGGAAAGAAGCTATGCAATCCCTCAGCGCTGGGTCACATGGCTTTGGCTCTTAAGGACAAGCTGAATGTATCCAAGAAGTCCAGCAAAGTGGGATTTGTCAGTGTGTAGGGCTAAAGGCTGTGGCAGTGTGGAGTTCATTTTAGTTTTATAAGGCCACCAGGGGGCATCAGAAAAAAAGGAACTACAATTGGCATTTATCAGGAGACTTCTCTGACCTGTCCGTAGTGTGGGCCTCCCTCCTCCAAAGAAATTCTAACTAACTCCTCCAAAGGAAACAGTTTTTAACAAAGCTCTTGCTATGGCTGGGGATGTGGCTCAAGCGGTAGCGTGCTCGCCTGGCGTGCGTGCGCCCTGGGTTCGATCCTCAACACCACATACAAAGATGTTGTGTCCGCCAAGAACTAAAAAATAAATATTAAAAAAAAACAAAGCTCTTGCTCAGCCTCTGGGATATAGTAGTAGTCCCCAGGGAACGGGAACGTTGCTCATTCTTGATGTGGCCTTTTGCCAAGGTGTCCTGGCACAACGGGAGGTCCAGGCCTGGGGTAGGAAGTGCGGGTGTTGCTGAGCCAAGGCACGAGTGTTGTAGAGTGTTGGACCGGCTGCTGGTAGAGCGGACACAGGGCTTGGGTCTGGGGCTGGTGGGGTTGGGCTGGGAAGCCAGGCCCCTTCCCTCCTCTTGGAAAACATGCTCTCCTCCTGAGTCACACATTTTCTCACACCTAATTTTTTTCTCTCCACCCTCTGCCTGTGGGGCATTTGAACATCTGCTCTCCAAAGTGGAAAACCTGGATCTCACTCAAGTGAGTGCAGTCTAACACAGTCTAACACATGACTTTTTCTACTTCTTTTAAACTCCTTTGTGCACTGAAGTCTTTTAGTCAAACCTAATGGCCAAGGACAATTCTACAGGAGAAGGCAGTTTTTCAACAAGATAAAGTAACTAAAGTATTTTGTTAAATCCAGCGGCACTGTACCACTGAGCTGCATCCCCAGCCCCTTTTATTTTTTGAGACAGGCTCTTGCTATGTTGCTGATATCATAGCCATCCTCCTAGCAATCCTCCTGCCTCAACCTATACATTACAGATGAGCACCTCCAGCCTAACTTAAATCCAAATTTTTTTGCACCAGAAATAACATAAAGAGATATACATTTTACGTTTATTGGTATTTATATTTAGATGAATAATATGTATATAGAGAAATAAAATGTGTATATTTATCTACACATTTGTAACAAGTTAAAAATACCCTGAAAATAGTATGCACGTGAGCAAACTTCATAAAGAACACATCCCATCATAGAGCAATGTGATCTAACAACGAAGAGTGTACAGTGCTCCCTGCAATTAGTAACTCTGAGTATTGTATGATTTACCAAGATTTCATTTCATAGGTTATGCCTATCTCTTCATCACTCCCCAGCAGTGGATTCACTGGGTTTGATTTTACATTTGTTTGTGCTTTTCTTTCTATCTTGTCTGTTATAAATAAAAGAGCACATTTAGTCTGAAAATTGGTTCCTGTCTTGTTATTTACATGATTGTGTAGGATCTAGATGAAGAACTCAGAAGAGAAACAGTTAGTACCTTGAAAGACTAATCAAAATGTTTTTTAAATGCCAAAATATTTTTATTATGCTTAAAACCTTTTTAAAAATAAAAAAAAATCCAGACTTTGATTCAACAAGCAAAAATAGTAAGCTTGGGATGACTTGGTGAGCAAGCTTCATTAGTGTCCCTTGTATTTAAAGGAGCACTCAAAGCTGATGAGTGGCATGGTGGTTTGGAGTCATGGTCTGTACCAGATGACACATGGTAATTTTTAGTACAGACTCCGTGCTGTTTCTTTTTTTAGGTTTGGAAACTCAATGAAATACAAGTGCCCATTCCCGTGGTGCAATGCTTTCTAACAGGAAACTTCAGTCTTTCAGACCTTGTCACCTGCTTCTATTAGAGTTCATTATGCACTTGTAATAGTTGTTGCTTAATAGCCGCTCCCTCCTTAACTCTTGACCTTTCAAAGGTAAATTAGCTAAGCTTGGGCTGAGTGATAGTGAGCTGGGAAGTGGCACCCGTCACTAACTCATAGAGACACTACAAATGACAGAAGCCTTGTTTGTGATCGATACAATTGATGTTTAAACCATAAAGACCTCTCCTTAGTTTTGTTTGGGTTTTTGTTTTGCAGTGCTAGGGATGCAACCCAGGGCCTTGCATATGCTAGGCAAGTGCTCTACCACAAGGATTTCTCCTTAGGATTTTACATGATTTCCAGCTTGTTAGCTCTGGAAGAGTTCTCGCTTAGGAATGGAAAGAAGTCAGCCTGAGAAAAGTGGCTTGCTTCCAGTAGCCTGGGATGTGGTGGTGGGGACACAGGTGGGACCCTACAAGGAAGACTTTTGCTTATAAAGAGAGCAGTGAAAGGGAGCTTGTCTATGTGGGGAATGATCTCCCATATGACAATGTTCCAATAGTCCTCAGGACCACCCTTCTTGTTCTGTAGCTCTGATTCTTCACCAAGGGTGCCTTATCAGAATCACCTGGGGAGATTTGAACATGCTGTGCGTACCAGAGCTCCACTCCTGGAGATGTTGAGACTATGGGGGCTGGGTGTGCAGGGGCATGTGCATTACTTTAGAAACTCTCCAGGTATGTAGATGTTCTCTGGGTAAAGAGCCACTGCTAGAGGATTTGTAAGGTGCCCAGCCCTGAGATCCCTGCTTCTATAACTAACTGGCCAGTGACTTTGTAACAGGGACTTAGAAAGAATACCTTTGCTAAAAGCAGTAACTCTTTACCTAGATCTGCAGCTGCCCTGTGGGTAACTAAAAGCAGGATCAAGCCTGGCCTTTCTGCCTTTATTCTGCATCTATCTCCTTTGCTATCTAAAACTTTGAGTCAGGTCCCTGCTCGGCTCTATACGTAGGCATGTTAATCACTTAACGAGTGCCCATCCAAAATCTAGTAATACAAGGTTTCTTAACCCTAAATTTACCTAACCTATCTTGTCCCCCCACTTCAAGACTGAGGCCAGATTTGCAGGGAGATTTGCAGCATCCTGTTTCAGACCCCTGAAGCAGTATCTGGAAGTCTCCTATCTTTGCCCCCATCCAGGATCACGGGTCTCATAAACATTCTGAGCAACAAGTGGAAATGTCCCCCTTGAGTGATAAAGACTTCTCTGGAGCCACTTCACAGAGAAGTGAGGTGGAATGATCAACCAGACCACAGTTTGGCCAAGATTGCTTAATTAAGCAGACCTCTCACCCACTGCCCTAGTTCTTCCTCTATTTAAACCTAAAGCCCCTGTCAGCACCTCGAAGGCAGTGCTGAGACATTGGATCTTGCTTTACCTTGCCAACATGGCAGTATTGATTAAAGTTACTTTTCCTGCTTTCCACTATAACCTTTTCTCAGTTTTGAGGGATGAGTAACAAGACCTGACCTGGTTATTTGGGACCCCGAAGTCAGACCTCTGGCCTAGGATGCCAATAACAGCTTCAGTAAGCTGTCACCCACTGTTACTGGAGTTATTGTGCCAGGAACACCTCCAACCCATCCTGGGAAAGTAGCAGCAGGAAGCCCTCACCATTCAAGGAGCCGGCTGCAGAAGGCACAGCTTGGACTGGATGTCATCATCTCTGCACGTTTCTGCCTTCCCCGGGTGCTGCTGGGGTCCTCCTGCACCACAAAACACACACAGATGTGGTATGAGGGAGGATGTGACTCACCCCACCGCCGGGGACTGCAGCCCAGCCCAGTCTGCTGCTCAGACCCAGCTGAACTTGCCACATCAGGATGGGAGACATTCGCACACACATCACTGTACAGACTGAGAAGCAGAGGCCCAAGGAGATCAGGAAGGAAAAAAGAGCCCATCCTTAGTTCTGATGTCTGTCAGTGTGGTCTGAGCCTCTGAAGGCCAGGGTTTTTGAGAACGGAAGCTCTACCCTGGCTGGGCTTCTCTTCTTTAAAACAGGTTTTAAATCTAGGGTACAGATGCCTTTTTTTTTTCCCTTCCTTTGTTTCAAATTATCTCACCCTCTACTAGAGAATGAAAGAATTTTGGAAGATAATTTTATTTTTGCAGCGCTGGGGATGGAACCCAGGGTGCAGGCCAGGCAAGCACACTATCACTGAGCCACACCCAGCCTGGAAGGTAATTTTAAAATCTTATCAATCTGATCACAGGTTAGTAGAGCTCTAAAAGCTTCTTCAAAGAAATCCATTTAACTATGAATTAAAACAAAAAAGGGTTTAGGGACTGTTCAGAGCCCTAAATGATTGATTTTATGTCTTCTATATCTTAACTTTTTTTTTTTTTTTATGGGGGTGGGTGCTTGGGATCTAACCCAGGGCCTCGCACATGCTAGGATGCTAGGCTGCTAGGCAAACACTCTACCACTGAGTTACATCCCCAGCCCTATACATCACTTTTTTGTTGTAGATAGATACAATATCTTTTTTGTTGTTGTTGTTTATTTATATGGTGCTGGGGATTGAACCCAGTGCCTCATGCATGCTAGGCAAGTGCTCTACCACTGAGCCACTACCCCAGCCCTATACATCGCTTTTTTGGGGTTGGGTGTTACCAGGGATTGAACTCAGGAGCACTCAACCACTGAGCCACATCCCCAGCCCTATTTTGTATTTTATTTAGAGACAGGGTCTCACTGAGTTGCTTAGCACCTTGCTTTTGCTGAGGCTGGCTTTGAACTCACTATCCTCCTTCCTAAACCTCCTGAGGTCCTAGGATTACAGGCGTGCGCCACAGTACCCAGCTTATACATCACTTTTTTTAAAAAAATTTTTTTTAGTTGTCAATGGACCTTTATTTTTTTACTTACTTATATGTGGTGCTGAGGATCGAACCCAGTGCCTCACACATTCAGGCAAGTGTGAGGCTACCACTGAGCCACAGCCTTAGCCCTATATATCACTTTTTAACACAAAACAATTGCACTACTGAACAGAAAGGGCTAACACCAGCCACTGTGTATTTTTGACTATGGCCTTATCCTTTGTGTAAACAGAAATCAATGTATTTTTTTCCACCATTACAAAGGATGCTTGCATAAGCATTATTATACACATATCTTTTTCCACATTTTGAATTACTTCCCGAGGAAACATCTGGGCCAAAGGTTGCGAACATGTTTGTGTGATGATACATTTTGCTGAACTGCTTTCCACAAAAGGTTCATGGATTACACAGCCACCAATAATGTGGATGGCCCAGTTGGACCACACCTTTCTCAGTACCAGGATTTATCTCTTGAAAATGTTTTCATTAATTTAAGCGGGGGGCAAAGAAGATGAGCATTTCCCCACATGCTTATTTATTGGTTGCATTTCCTTCTTGTGGCTTTTCAGTTCATATCTTTTGCCCACTGATTTTTTGGGAGGGCTTCATTATTTTTTTATTGATAGAAACAACTGCGGTATTTGTTGATTGTTCATTATGTGCCAGTGCTTCTCAGATAATCTTTATTACTTACCATCCTGGCATGTTGTGACAATTTAATGATGAATAATTTGAGGCTCAGAGAATTTAAGCAACTTGGCAAGATCACATAGAGAGTATCTGAGCTGGAATTGAACCTTTATTGTGTGACTCATTTGCTTGTGTTCTTAACCCCAATTCTGTTAAACTGTGCATTTGTCAGAGCACTTGATAGGATACCAATTTGAACAGTGAACATCCTTTTGTTTTTCATACATTCCCATTTTTCTGTCTTTAAAAATTTGACTGTAATTTGTTTTGCAAACATAAGTTAAAATTTTTGATATTGTCAGAGAGGAGGTACAAATGTCCAAGAAACAGATGAAAATGGGTTGAATTTCACAAATAGTTAAAAAAACAGATTGAGGCCAGGCCTGGTGGTGCACACCTGTAATCCCAACTGAGGCAGGAGGATTGCAGCCTCAGCAATTTAGTAAGGCCCTAAGCAATTTAGGGAGACCCTTTCTCAAAATAAAACATAAAGTAGAAAGGGCTGGGATGTGGTTTAGTGGTTAAGTGCCTCTGGGTTCAATCTCTGGTATTAAAAATATACATTGGTATAATAAGATACCCATTTTCACTTACCACTGTAGCAAAGCTTAGGAAAACATTGAGGTGAGCTCACGTCAGAGACCCTGATATTCCCAAGCACTAGCAAAGTGAAGGCTACAAATAGCCACTTTTCACAATGGTTTGAATCATTAACTGCAATGCTACGATTTTATTATCAGGAAATAATGGACAACAACAACAAAAAAGTTTGCACGTAATATGATGTTACCTGAAACCATGTTTATAATATCAAAGAACTGGGGAAAAACTAAATGTCCATCCATGAGATTGTTTAAATAAATCAGGGTACATCCATATAGTGAAATGCACCCATGGTGATGCTGATACAATAGGTGAGGTGGAGGCATATACATTATTTTAAAAGCTCATTAAAATGAAGCCATAGAGCTGAGCGTGGTAGTGCATGCCTGTAATCACAGCTACCTGGGAGGCTAGGCAGGAAGAAAAGTTGGAGATCAGCTAGGGCAACCCCAGATCCTCCCTCTCTCTCAAAAAGTAAAAGTCAGAAAAAATAGATCAGCGGTAGAGTGCTTGCCTAGCATGCTCAAGGCACTGGATTCAATTGAAAAAAAAAAAGTAGGTTTATTCTTTAGTGACGTGAAGAGATGTCCACAATATGTTAAATGAAAAAAAGTAGATCATAAAACAATACATATAGTAAGATTTCATTTTTGTAAAAATATATACGCAAGAGGTATCAGAGGTAGAGCACTTGCCTAGCATGTGTAAGGCACTGGGTTCTATCCTCATCACCACATAAAAATAAAAAAAAAATAATAAAGTTTTTAAAAAAGAGGGGAAACTGGAAGGATATATACTAAAATGAATATACTAAAATATTAGCAAGGGCTGGGGGTTGTGGCTCAGTGGTAGAGCACTTGTTTAGCATGTGTGAGGCACTGGGTTCAATTCTCAGCACTGCATATAAGTAAATAAAGAAAATAAAGTTTCATCAACAATTTAAAAAAACTACTTAAAAAATTAGCCACAACTTGTCTAAGGAAAATTTTCTTCTTTACACTTCTCTATACTTTTTGATTTCTTTTGCAATAAATATTTATCACATTTATAACTTAAAAATGAAGGGTTTCCCCCCCTCCGATCTGTTCCCCATATTTTCTTTTATCACTACTAAGTTTACAGAGTTCCCCTGCACTTGACATTTCAAACAGATTTGCATTAGCAAAATGCAATAGGTGTCCTTCCACTGAGTTGGAAGATAGAGGCTTTAATATCTTTTGCCCTGGGCAAGTTTCACCTTTCTAAGTTATTCCTCCTATGCAAAAAGTTTTTGCAAATTGTAAGGCTCTGAATCAACAGGGTTATCACTGCTTGTTATTACATCGATATCATTTTGGTCCCTTGGGCTTTTAATCCCAGTTTTTCCAATTTATTCATAATGAAATAATCTTTGGATTTTTGCTACTCTTTAAAAGGTGGTGTCCAGACCAAAACCAGCAACATTGGCATCACTTGGGAGCTTGTTAGAAATGCAGGATTGCAAATCACCCAGACCTACTGAATCAATTTAACAAGACATACTTGATGAACATAGATGCAAAATATTTTATTAAAATATTGGCAAATCACATATAAAAATACATTAAAAAAGAGAGTATACCATGATCAAGCAGGTTTCATCCCAGGCATACCAGGTTGGTTTAACATAAAGAAATCAATAAATGTAATTCATCACATAAATAGACTTAAAGACAAGAATCACATTATTGTCTCAATAGATGCAGAAAAAGCATTTGGCAAAATACAGCATTCATTCATGTTTAAAACACTAGAAAAAATAGGGATAGAAGGAATATACCTAAACATTGCAAACAAACACAAGGCTAACACCATTCTAAACTGAAAAGAATTGAAAGCATTCCCTCTAAAAATAGGAACACAGGATGCCCACTTTCACCACTTCTATTCAACATAGTCCTTGAAATTCTAGCCAGAGCAATTAGGCAAAGGAAAGAAATTAAAGGGATTCCAATAGGAAAAGAAGAGTTCAAACTATCTGTTTGCTAGTGACATGATTTATATTTAGAAGACCCAAGAACTTCACCAGAAAACTCTGAAAAATGAATTCAGCAAGTAGCAGGATACAAAATTAACATCCAGAAATCAATTGCATTCCTATACTATGAATCAGCTGAAAGAGAAATTAAGAAAACCATCCTATTCATAATAGCCTCAAAAACAAAACAAACAAACAAACAAAAAAAAACTTGGGAATCAATCTAACAAAAAAGGTGAAGGACTTCTGCAATGAAATCTACAGAAGAGAGCTGGGGTTGTGGCTCAGTGGTAGAGAGCTTGCACTGGGTTTGATCCCCAGCACCACATAAAATAAATAAATTAATTAAATAAATAAAGGTATTAAAAATGACACCATGTTTAAAAAAAACTACAGAACATTAAAGAAAGAAAGAGAGAAGACCTTAGAAGATGGAAAGACCATCAGTTGTTCTTGGATAGGGCAGAATTAATATTATCAAAACGGCCATACTACCAAAAGTGCTATACAGATTCAAAGCAATTCCCATCGAAATTCTAATCATGTTCTCCATAGAAATAGAAAAAGCAGTCATGAAATTCATCTGGAAAAATAAGAGACCCAGACTAGCCAAAGCAATCCTTAGCAAGAAAAGCAAAGCATCACAATCCCAGATCTTAAATTATACAACAGAGTTATAACAACAAAAACAGCATGGTATTGGCACCAAAACAGGCAAATCCCACCCATCATCTACATCCATAAGAATGGGGACCTAACTAGAATCAGATATATCCCATGCTTGGACAATTGTATCAAAATGAATTCTACTGTCAAGTGTCACAAAAGAACCAAGAAAAGAAAAAAAAAAAAAATACAAGATCTGCAGTTGATTTCTAGACACAGTGAAGTTGAAGAAGCCCTCATTTAGGTCCAGGTACCTCAATCAAGTTTCTCCTGAGAGCTGGAAGAATGGGAAACCCTTAGCAAGAGCCACAATCACCAGCCCTAACACCCAGCCTGCCAATTAGTCCAAGAGCTGGGGACTGGGGATGTAGCTCAGTGGTACAGCAGAAGCTTAGCAAGGGAGAAATTCTGGGTTCAATTCCCAGTAATGGGTGCACACACACAAAACCAGGTGAGGATTTGCATCTGCACTGCCAGCTCACAGAGCTCCTGGCTTGGGGCCTGCAGCAACCACCTCCCCACACCTCCACCGCCACCCTCACCCCCACCCCCATTCACCTTACTTCCCTGGGGGCCCAAAGGGCTCCAGAATGCTCCTTGGGAGCACACAGAAGGAATTGCCCTTAGGGCCAATTCAGATGTGACTCTAAATTAGGTCAGAATCCCCATTATCACTCCTAAGACACCATAATATGCCTCCAAGGGTCCCTTCCCAGACTCCTCACCAAGTAGCCTCCTTATCCCAGGACTCAACTCAAATGTTCCCTCTGACTATCTCTCCCTTAGTAATGCTGCCCTCTCACAGTTACCTTGGTCATGTCCCATTACTTAATAGTCTCAACAGCTAACACCGAAGTAATGCGCTGGTTTAAGTACTTTACATGTACTAACTCATTTAAACATCATAACAACCCGGTGAGACAGGCATTGATATCCCATTTTTCAGAGGAGGGAACTGAGACACAGGGAGGTTGCCTAACTTCCCCATGATCACAAAGCTGATAAGTAACACAGCCAGTATTTGAACCCAGGAAGTTTGGCCTCAGAGTCATGGGAGTGTTTTATCACTTCCTGTGCTTTTTACATTCTGTACTCCTATTCAATTCTCCCAGAAGTGCAAACATCTTGAGGGAGGGGGTGATTTGTCTGCCTTGTTTATGTTGAATCCCAAATACTTAGGAAAGTGCCTAGTAGAACAAATTAAAAAGAAAAAAATAGAAGGGAGACCGGTAGAATAGAAGAAGGGAATCAGGGGGAGGGTGCGGAGGCGAAAGGGGGGGTACTGGGGAATGAAATCGATCAAATGATACTGTTTTATTGTGTGCACGTATGAATATATTATAACAAATCCCATTGTTGTGTATAATTATAATGCACCAATAAAAAGGAAAAAAAGTGCCTAGTATATAGCAATAAATATTGCTGAATGGATAAATGAATGAATGAATAATAAATACCAGCAGTAGATGCTTTCTTCAGTACTGATCATTACAAAGTGTGGAGTTTTCTTCATTTTACAACAGTTGCTGTAAACTTGGGACCTAGTAAAGCAGAGTGAATCCAGGCCTGAGGCAGCTGCTGCCGGATGGCTAGAAGAACCCTTAGGCTCCCTCACACCACCCCAGGCAAAGAATTCTGCCTGAGATGGGGGGCTGAGTATCCAGGATGCAGAAATTACCTGTGTCCAAAGTTGGGCCTGAGGGAATGAGGTTTTGTCAGGCAGCAAAGCGTTCTGAGGTGGTGAACACACTTCTTTGGAAGGTTAATATTTATATAAATCCTCTCATTCTTGTCCTTAGCTCGGACAAAAACCTCATTTGAATTTTGAATATCAGCCCTGGGGTTGTGTCTTCAAATACTGAATGACACCAGAGTCGACTTAAGGCAATTATTTAGATGATTCCATTTTTTCAAATTTTAATTTAGTCTGAGATGTTCTGACAGTTGAGGCAAAAAAGCCGTAGAAAGATAGTGGCGATTGATTTGAATTCCCAATCTGGTATATGCAGACAATCAAAAGAATTTAACTTGAGAGAAGGAAAATGCAGAAGTGGATTTAGAGGAAATAATTATTTCACTGAGTGTGCTAGTCTTTATTTAGAAGAAAGAGCACAAAACTATTGAAAAGAAAAATGTTCCCAGGCACGATCCACAAGTTTTGCTATTTATCCAGAAGAAATAGCTATTCTGTGGATCATCAGTTCACACTGAAATGTTGCATCCAAAATTAATGGGATGTTTCAAGACCAACACTTGAAATAGCATCCAATTTCTAAAAGCTGGTACCATTTTAAATATTATGATTCTTAGGGCTTTGGAAAGTTCAGTTTTCATTAAATATTAAAATAGAGTCCAGTGAATCCATGAGTTAGGAGTCCATACATGCATAAAAACCATTTTTCCTGGCACAAAATTAGGCTGTAGGTTGCTGCATGACCTCATTTGAGGACGAAGAGGCTGTGGATGCCAAATCATCCAGGAAGATTGGAGAGCTCACAGGAAGACAGAGTGCTGAAGTACATTTGCTTTCGTCAATTTTCTCTCTAACATCTTCAAGTAGCACCTCCAACTTGAAGATTTTACCTTCCACTTTTCTGGGTAAACATAAACAGGCACCTCCTGGGCTACGTTCTCAGCCTCCTAACTGGTGACAACAGTAATTGAAAAGGGCACTGATCTACATTTTTAATGTGGCCTATCTATAGACGGAAAGGATAAGGGACCTCTGCCCTGATGCATTCTGTTTAGAGTTTCACTCCAAAGTCCTGGGCTCTGAGCCTTATTTGCTGTCTATTAGCTGTCTATCCTTTGGTAAATCATTTCATCTTTCTGAGCTTCCAGTATCTCAGCTCTACCTTGCTTTTCTGGATCTGATGACACCAGGATCCCTGACAGTTCTAAGAGCTGCAATGCCATGGAAATAATCATTATGCCAATTAAAAGAGAGGAGGAGCATAAAAGTATGAGAAAAATTTAATGAATAAGCTCGTTATGATTACATGCACGTATATTTTAAAATATAGATTTTACCCAATTTTCTTTTCTTTTTTTTTTTTTTAAATTTTAATATTTTATTTCTTAGTTTTCGGTAGACACAACATCTTTGTTTGTATGTGGTGCTGAGGTTCGAACCCGGGCAGCGCGCATGCCAGATGGGCGCGCTACCGCTTGAGCCACATCCCCAGCCCCCAATTTTCATCTAAATAATTTTGGGTTAAATATAAAATAGAAATGGGAGTGAGGAATAATTTATTAGCAGATGAAATTTGAGAGAAAAACATATGAAAATCAATCCAATGCAGTTAAAGCAGTAGTTTGAGGAAAATTTATACTTTTTTTTTTTTCTAAGAGACAAGTTTTCTGTGTTGCTCAGGCTGGTCCCAAATTCCTGGGCTCAAGTGATACTCTTGCCTTAACCTCTTGAGGAGCTGGAACTCCAGACTTAAACCACTACACCCAGTTTAGTTGAGTTGGGGGAGGGGGGGTTGGTATGTTTCTTTTTCATTCTGGATTGTTTTGTTTTGGTGCTGGGGATTGAGTCCAGGACCTTGTGTATGCTATGTTCCAAGATATGCCCCCGGCTTAGGGTCTTAAAGATGCATTATTAGAAGAAAAAGTTGAAAAAAAATCAATAAACTAAGTGTTCAAAACAGGAAGACAGAAAAAGAAAGTACATCTAGGAATTTTTAAAATTTTATCGATAAAATAAATTTCTGTTTCCAAAAAATCTGCAAAATAAACTGCTGGAAAGTAATGAGAAACATAAATAACATTAAGAAAAAGAAAGAAGCTGGGTGTGATGACTCCCAGTGACTCAGGAGGCTGAGGCAGGAGGATCATAAATTAAAGACCAGCCTCAGCAACTTAGTGAGACCCTGTCTCAAATAAATATTTTTTAAAAAAAATTTAGACGCTGGGGGTGTGGCTCAGTGGTTAAGTGCTCCTGGGTTCAATTCCTGGTTACCCCCCACCCAAAAAAAGTTCTTTCACAAGTACTAATTATTCAATATTATTCTTGAAAACCTAGCAAATGAAATAAAGTAATAAAAAGAAATATATAAGAACTGGAAGGAAAAATAGAAATAAAGTATATAAATATTTAGGGAGGAAAAGCCTGTCATTGCTTTCAGATGCTACAATGTCATACCTTATAAATGAAGACAACCAAGTAAAAATCAACAAAATGCTAAGAACAGAAGTGCAGGACTGGTTGTAGCTCAGTGGTGGAGCTCTTGCCTTGCACTTGTGAGGCACTGGGTTCAATCCTCAGCACCACATAAAAATAAAGTAAAGGTATTGTGTCCACCTACAACTGAAAATATTTAAAAAAAAAACATTTGGTTAATATAGAGACAGAAACAGATCAGTAGAATGAAATAGAAAAATGTCACAACTACATGCAGAGATTTTGTATTTGATAAAACGTCTTTTGCCATTGGGCACAGCGGTGCACATCTATAATCCCAACTATTCAGGAGGCTGAGGCAGGAAGATTGCAAGTTGAAGGCCAGCCTAGGCAATTTAGTAAGACTTTGTATCAAGACAAAAAATTTTAAAAGGCTGGGATGTACCTCAGGGGTAAAGCACTTGCCTAGCATATGCAGTTCTTAGTACTGAAAAGAAATTAATACATTTTTTAAAATGTCTTTTTCAACTAGTGGAGAAAGGCTGCTGTTTTTGATAAATGGCAGGACAAAGAAATGCTAAAGTGATAGTTGAATAAGATTGGAGAATATTTATAACGTAGAAGGCAGAAGAGAATGCAGCAGAGGACACTTAGAGGCTGCTGATTTACAAAAAAGGAGTGAAATGACCCAGCAAGCTTCATGGCAGTCCAAAAGGAGGCGGGGCTCAAGGAGGTTGGAGGGTGAAGGAAGGAAGAAAAAAGAGGTGTCAGCATGGAGATTTGGAGATAGATAAGAGACATTTTTGAGGGAATTCATGATTTTTCCTGTAAAGCAAAGGACAAGATTGATGCTGAGAATATCAGAGATGATGGAGGTAGATCCCCATTTCTTTTTCTTCCTTCTTTTGGGTGGGGGCAGTACTGTAGATTGAACCCAGGGGCACTCTCCCTCCCTCCCTTTCTTTCTTTCTTTTGAGACAAGGTCTTGCTAAGTTGCCTAGGCTGACCTCGAACTTTCGATCTTCCTGACCCAGCCTCCCAGTTTCTGGGATTACCGGCATGTGCCTGGCAGTAGAATCCCATTTCTTGACTCGTTTTGGTTTCTGATGTTTGAAAGAATCAGACAACCATTGGGCATTCTGATGAACAAGAGAAATGAGATCCAAACAAATAATTCTGTATATTACCTTTTTGTGTATGTGGGAGGGGTCTGAGGTTTGAATACCTTACCACTGTGATAAAAAGCTTTTAATAAGAGCACAGCAGTCAATGGAAACAAGTGACTGCTCAATAAATCAGCAGAATTCTTGCCCCCACAGAAAGCTACCTATATCGGTTTTTGGACAAACACTTAGAAGGTTCTCAACACTTCAAGACCCTAAAGGTTATATGGGCTTCTGCCATTGCCTCGTTAGTCTATGTGAGAATAAGAGGACCAGTCTTGAGCTGATCAGCTTTGCTTGTCCTGAGGTGGCTCCAAGGGAGTTTTGGGAGAGGCTGGGTCCCTCCCTTTCCCCAGTGTTGAAAGTTTTTCCCGTATATGGGATATAATTGCAGTTAAAACCCTTTTGATTTATACTTGTGCCAGGCACAGTGTGGTTGCAACTAGGATATAAATAAGGCATTGCATAACTTCAGTCTCAATGCACACAGAGGCCTGTCTTGAAAATGACAGCTAAGAGATTCCTTGAAAATAAATATACTTACTCTATTAGTTTTTTAAAAAAGCAGAAGAATGTAGAGATGGTTCCCCCCCGCCAGGGAGAAAAAGCCATTGGGGAAAAAAAATCAATATTAAAACCTCATCCCTGCTGTTTAATTATACAGTATTGAAATAAAGGCAGACAGAGGTTCCATTCATTTTGAAAAAAAGTAAATTGTACCTCAGGGGGGAAAAAACATCTCAGGATGCTAGTTCTGAAACATAAATCATTAAAATATTTTGGCATCAAGAATGATTCCACATTAAAATGCTGTGAGTAGAAAGAGTTGAACTTCACAAATATTACTCAATGGTTTCTTTTAATTCGTACCAGGAAATTAAATAGAAACAATCTTAGCCTGGAGTTCTGGAATGGATCTTAAAATTATTTGGAGTGAAGCGAGAAGAGAATGGTTCCATAAAAATGGCCAATTGGAAACTTCAAGAGGAGTGTGCGTTCAAGTTTCTAATGTGAATTAACTCAGGAATTGTTTTCCGTTATCAGGATTTTGAAGGTCCTTCACCTCCGCACAAATCAACTTTCCAATGATCCTCTCCTGCCACCGCCCTTCAGAACTGTCAGTGGATGGAAAAGGAAGGAGTAAAAAATGGACAGTAGGTAAGAACCAGCCAGAGATAGCAAAGTTAGAAGCAGAGAGAACTAGGAAAGAGCTGAGGAGGACAGGAGAGGAGAAGGCCCTCTGTCATGAGCACATGAGTTCTTCTGATATTTTCTTGTGCTCCTCTGAGTCTCAGAACCAATTAAAATAACCTCCAACAGAATATAAAGTTGTGGCATAGTATCTCTGTCCCAGGAGACAACTGGTCATTTGGGATCGATGCCCAGCATAGCACCTTACACATCACAGATGATCCATGCTACTTGTGACAAGAGAGAATGGTCACTTTTTTCCCTTTGGTGACACAGTTTTTGCTGACTCTAGACCAGTGGCTCTCCACATACTAAGCCAGTGGCTACTTCAGAATCCCACGTGAAAGAGGCCACCTTGGGCCCATGAACCTTGCACGGTAGGTGTGAACCTGACCTGTTGGGATCAAAGTCATCTACAGTTGGGCATTCATGCTTGTGGATTTGCTGCTGCAAGCCCAAATGTTTTTCCTTGGAGGCCAGCAACTCCTGTTCCAGCACTTCAAGGTGTTCCTGAAGTTTCTTCAGGACCTGTAGCAAGTGAAGTCATTGGAATCATCCACATGTAAGCTGTGTGTGTAGTTGTTTTCCCAAAAACGCAGAGTAGGTGACCCTACAGTAGTGTCAGAATCTGACATCTAAAATATAGACAACCCAAGAGTCATCTTGGCACTCGCAACCCCCTCACAGCACATGGCTGAAAAATACAGTCATTTCTGATTTCTCCCTCGGAACCCGCTTGGAGGCCTCTGAACTCCTAAATGGCATATTCATTATCCTGTATTTTGCAGAATGACTTTTACTTATAGAGCACTTTATCTTGTTTAATCTTCACATCAACGTTGTGAATTTGCAAAGGAGACTTCATTATCCTGGTTTTGTAGAGGAAGAAAACAGGAGCTCTAGAAATTATGTCTGAAGTCACATAGATCTTAAAAAGGATCTGAAGTTAGAGGTCCTGGGTTTCAGTCTATGGCAGCTGGAGGGTAAGATGGGGAAGGAATAGCAAAATTTAGCCAGAAAAGTGGGTGGGTCTTGCAGAAGTCACCTCGGGCTGCTTTGTATAAATGAATGTTTAAACTCTGCAGGTCAGGATCCTCTCTTGAAGATATGTAGAGGCTTCTGACCCAAATCCTCAGGTGCTAAACATTCCCTGAGTCCTGCTTATGTCTGACCCTGGGCCTGAGGCATGAGATTAAAAAACTATCTCAGGAACAGTCCTAGTCTAAATGATTTTATTCTGTTGAAAAGAGAGACTGTGTATTTGACTCCAAGACACAATGGAGGAAGTAAGTTTGAAGTCAGATTTAAAGGATGCTCAGGGAAGCCTAGACTAGGCAGTATTCATGAAAATGGAGATTAAAGGAGGAATTGAAGCTATGTTGCCAAGGGTGGGAATATTGCACAATGAGGTTACAATGCAGACAAAACAGGGTTCAAGTTCAGACTTTGTCCCTTACTAATTGAATTATTTGAGATAACTCAAACTCTTGAAACTTCAATTTTTCATCTGTAAAATTAATATAATAGCTCCCATATTCTGAAAATTAAATAAGATAACCATGCCAGGAGCACAGTACCAGTGTTCCACTGCTCACAATGGGGCTACATCCTGAAAAAGTCATTGTAAATTGAAAATCGAAAATATCACATGTAGAAAAGCATTCATTACATCATAGCCTGGCCCAGCCTACCTTAAATGTGCTCAGAATCTTGCATCAGCCTACAGTTGGGACAAATCACCTAACACAAAAATCTATTTTATAAGGAAAGTGTTGAATAGCTCATGTGATTTGTTGAACACAGACCACTGTACAGTATTGGCTGTCTACTCTCATGATTGTAGGCTAACTCGGAGCTGTGTGGCTGGCTCTCGCTGCCCAGCATCTGAGAGAGTATCCTTACTGCATGTCCCTAGCCATGGAAAGATTCAGACTCAAAATCCAAAGCATGATTTCTACTGAATGGGTATTACCTGGCATCATCATAAAATTGAAATATTGTTAAACCATCCTAAGTCAGGTACTATCTATACATATACAAAAGATAATAGCTGCTAGTATTACGCATTCTTGTTAATATTAACAAATAGACAAGAGTTTAGAAACATATTGGCCATAGGGTTGAAAATGGCAAGTTTGGTGGCTGTTTTCCGTTTCCTCCCTGTATTCATCCTCTCTCCTTCTCTGTGCCCCAGTCAGGGGCTAACTTTGAGTCAACTGTATCAACAGGCTCTTTTCTACCCTGGCTTCAGTTGTTTCCAGCCAACAGTTGGCAGCAGCAGGAGAGAGGAGTTGGAGACAATGAGGTAGGAGTGAGAGTCATTATTTCCCTGATTTCCTTCTTCCTGCATAGATTGGCTAATGTCAGTCTATCAAAAGCCACAGAGCTTGTCCACTATTCCTACAGCTACAGCTCTCCCTGTAGGCTCCGGTGCCTGGTTTTCCTCTGCTCCTTTAAGCCTGCAGGTGAAGCAGCTCCCCACATTCCTTCCATGAGAGGCTTTCTCATCCTTTATTGGTTTTCCTTAATCTTACACTGTTGTAAAAGAATGCCTTTATTAAACTCTCCTCGGTTACCCCATTTGAGCCAGCCATCTATTCCCTGCCAGGAAGAGATCCTGGTACTAAGAATCTAACAAACTAGAGAGTTTCTGGGTTGGGAGGTGGAAAGAATGTAATAGATTTGAGTAAAATGAGGAATTGGAGAAGGCTAACAAGTTTGAGTGAAGATATCAAGGCTGAACTAGAGTTGCAGGGAGAGCAGGAGACCCAGGAAGACACGCACCGGTGCTGGAACTATAGATGAAAAGCTAGGGGCTGGGGTTGTGGCTCAATGGTAGAGCACTTGCCTGGCGGGTATGAGGCACTGGGTTCAATCCTCAGCACCACATGAAAATAAATAAATAAAATAAAGGCATTGTGTCCACCTACAACTAAAAATATTAAAAAAAAAAAAAAAAAAAAGCTAAGAACAGTGGTTTAGGAATTTGTAGCATGCAAATAAATGGCAATTAAAGCCATGAGAGGAAATCAAGTATTCAAAGGCCAGAGGATGAGAAGAAAAGAAAGCCAAGTATTAATTCTAATTTAGGATCTTGGAGTTATAAATCATGTTATATTCCAGAAGATAGGGCACAGTTTTCTAGACATAACTGTATCTCTTTTCATTCTCAGAACAATTCTGAGATGGGAGACGTGCCACAACATGTCTAAGCTGTATAACCAATAAGTAGAACTAGGATGTCTGCTCCAAAATCCAAATGCTTCCCATTATTGTGCTGCTCAAGTTGAGAAGGTTGGTTCCACCCTGTCTGGCCTTCTTCCAACACTGATCCAAATGGCCCTGGAACGCTCAGACCACAGGCTGAAACTTTCAGGAGCTAGTTTTCTGTTCTCCCTGTCTCAGCAGGAATTTCTACTTACCCTCTACCATCAGAAGGATCTTTCTGACTTGAGGCCTCTGAAGGCTATTGCCTTAAACCAGTTCTGCCCTCTAAAATTCTGTGTCCTGCAAGCTCCCCAAACTCTCGCCTTTGAGAGATCTCCTTTATCTCTCATTTAATCCTTAGCCTCTGCAATTTGCCTTCCCATCCACCACCTCAGTGAAACCAGGCTTGCCAAGTCCAATACACTTTTTTTTTAATAGACGATTTTTCAACTTGTCTTTCTTTTTATTTTGTAGTGATGAGGATTGAACCCAGGACTTTGCACATGCTAGGCAAGTGATCTGCCACTGACCAATATACATCTTATTTTCCTTTGTTCCTTGAATGGTGTGGCCCAATTTCCTACATTTTTTTTTTTGTAGATGGACACAATGCCTTTATTTTATTTACTTATTTTTATGTGATGCTGAGGATCAAACCCAGTTCTTCACCCATGCTAGGCAAGCTTTACTTCTGAGCTACAACCCCAGCCCTAACTCCTTACTTCTTAAAAACCTCCTTCCTGGGGCTTCAATAGCTCTTCCTCTTCAGATCTGCTCCTGATCTCTTGGGTCTTTCCTCTTCAGTCTCCTTTTTGGGCCTCTCTGTTTTTTATTTTTCCCCTGCCCTCTGCTTGCTGCTGACCAGTGACTCTCTCCTTGACCCTCTCCACTTCCCACTTGACCTGGACAACCTCAATCCCTCCATAGCTTCAACTCACGGCTATGCCAAATCTACATTTCTGGCCCAAATGCTTCTGAGGGCCAGACCCATCACACTAAGGGCCTACTGGACATCCTCATTTGAATGTCCCTAGGGACTTCATACTCAAAGGTGTCCAAACTATACTTGACATCTTGCCTTCTGCCTGCCTTCCACACCCCTTCTGAACTGGATCTTCCACTTTTGTTCCTGACTTTTGTGTCACCCAAGCCAGAAATCTGGAATTCATCCAAGCCGCCTCCTTTTCTTTATTCACTCCTTTAATCTACCACCACTACCTTAAACACATAGATTTGTCTCCCTCTTCATCTTCCTCACACCAGCCTTCAAGTTCTCAAACTCGTCCTGCATTGGGTCTATGCCTACCATAGTGCTTGGTGCTTGCCATTTCTCAATTTTAAATCCTTCCATGTTGCCCCATCACTCAAACTCAGGGAAAAAATCTAAGCTCCTTAGCATTACTTAAAGGCCTTTCATGATGTACTGAGCTCCATCTGACAAATTACATGAGAGGCAGGTTTTGCCCTCACACTATTGAATCTGTGGTTTCCTTTCTTCCAGAAGACTTCTCTGCCTCCTATTCTGCTGAACTCACCTTATTCCTCTTGAGATACACCAAGTTAAAAGTCACTTCCAGGAAGCTTTCCAAAGCATTCAATAGCCAGGAGGAGCTTCTCCTAGGCTGTCATGAGAATCATCTATAACCTTTCTCAAGATGCATTTTAACAATCTGTTCACCATCCTGTTTGTAGGAGACTATAAGCCATTTGAAAAGGAAGAATTTCTTCATTTCCAAATCCCTAAGGCCTGGTGCATGGTTTTTGAAGGAATGAATGATTTAATTAATATGATGAGTAAATGGATAATCCATGGTATCTTTTAGCATCTGGGTTCTCCTGGGTTTGGCCCATACTTTTAGGTTTCTACAGCACAGCCCGCCCTGGATCTTGCTTGTGCACACATCAGGACTCCCCACTACCTGCCTTGCTGCTGACTCGATGACCTGAACTACATCTTCCACTTCAGCCCATCTATGGTTCTCCCAGCCTTGGCCTGTTGCTTCATTGTCCACACGTTTCCCATAACCCTGTCACTGATAACAAGGCTGTTAGAGTGACAACATAAATGAGTGATTAAATATAACAACAAGCAAGGGTGTGAAAGTAAAAGATTTTGACCTGAAAAGCATTGCCTCAAGTTTGATCTTAAGTTTTCAAAGTCTTAAATGTTGAGTTGCCAGATACTAGCAATTTTTATAACCTAAATCCACCAGGACCCATCAACTAGGACAGGCACCCTCTTTATAATGGCTTCCATGTTCTTCTCTTGAGCATACCTCAGATTTATGAGTTGACTAGTGAGATAAGCGATGTATCTATCCCCTGGAAAGGAAAGAGAGCTAAATTCTTATAGAAACAGAATTCTAAGCTCTTTTAGTCCCATAAACTAAGACAGTTTAATCTTCAGCCAAACATTTCCTACCAGAACATTCCACTCCCACCATTTTAGAGAAAACGGTGGTACCATGAAGTCATTTGTATCTACCCATGTCAAATTCTCTAATAAAGATTTTAAAAAACTAAATCAAATTCATTACCATTCTTTTTTCTTTCAAATGGCAGAAAGAGTCTTGTTTTATTTTTTTGGAAAATTCTTGTACCTGCAGTAAAAACACATGATATTTCATTAATAGTATGGTCTCCAGTGTTTAAATAATAAGTTTAAAAAAAATTTTTTAGATGTAGATGAACACACAGTATCTTTATTAATTTCTCTGTGGTGCTGAGGATCGAACCCAGTGCCTCACACATGCAAAGCAAGCGCTTTATCAATGAGCTACAGCCCGGCCCCTATATAATAAATTTTAAAAGTATCACCTTAGTCTTCAGTTGATCAGTCTGTTCTTTTAACTTTTGACACATCTGCTTGCCTTGGGATAGCTTTTGAAATATGTAAGTACTTGAGAAGGCCTCTTTCTGAGAGGCGGATGACAACTTCAACAAATGTGTCTCAGTTTTTATTTCTACATAAGAAAGAACAAGTTTTGGCATCCATGCGTTTCAACTCATCTCTGTCTTATTAAGTACTGAAAACAAAAATCTGTGGCAGTAATCAGCCTTGCTATTCTCTTCTAGAAATTTTCAAAACACATATCAAATCATATGATCATCTCAATAGATGCAGAAAAAGCATTTGATAAGATACAGCACCTCTTTATGTTCAAAATACTAGAAAAGCTAAGGACAGTAGAAACACACCTCAAGATTGTAAAAGCTATCTATGCTAAGCCAAGGCCAATATCATTCTAAATGGAGAAAAATTGAAAACATTCCCCCTAAAAACTGAAACAAGACAGGGATGCCCTCTTTCACCATTTCTATTCAACATAGTCTTTGAAACTCTAAATCAAAGAAGTTTTAAAACTCTATACCTGTAAGAAAGTCTTGATGTTTGTGTACTGTAGGCTCCATCTGCATAGTTAAAGAATAAGAAAACATTACTGTTGCAATTGACCAATTACACCATTATTCAGAATGATCAATGGGCTGCCTCCAGGACAACTGATGTGTTCTGGTCATCATGGAGGCAGCCCAGTTCTGTGGTCAAGAGCTGGGTCCATGGTGCTTGGGTTGGATTCCACTATGACACTAATTTGCTGGGTGACACAAGCAATTGCCTCATCATTGTAAGCATCAAATTTCATGGTGGTGAAATGGAGATAGTAATAGAATCTACTATGAGAATTAAATGTTAAATATTTACCATAATATCAGGCATGTGCTAAGCATTCAGCAATACATCTTAGCTATCATTATGATCATGTTTGATACCAGAAGGTGGAATACCCAAACATTTCTCCTAAAATTATACTGTAAGCTCCATGACTCAGGAACCATTGTTGATCTTTCCAGCAGCTCTGTTGAGGTCCTTTCGCTAACACCAAACATGTTCTAGGAATTATAATGTGCCATGCACTCCAAAATATGTGTCAAGATAGTGGTTGTTTTATGCTCACCACAGGCTAACTGTTTTAATCCCACAATGAATCACCTTGAGGGTCTTCCCATTGCTCCCAGCATAAAGCTCAGAAATACACAGAGGCCAGAGAATGAAATGGCAGTGGTAAAACTAGGCTGTGGTCATTAGGAATATCTCCAATATAGGCTGGATGTGAAACCTATAGCATTCAGTTCTCTAGCTTGAATTGACAGGCTGGGAAAACAAACAAACAAACAACAACAACAACAAAAAAAAAACCAGATGCCTGATCTCAAACTACCACTGCCAGAGAGAGATGAGCCTGATATCCATTCTCCTTCTACTAACACAGGAGACTGAGAACTGGGAACAATATTAATGTTATCCTCCTAGTAGAACAGGAACCCTGAGAAATGCAAATTAATCTACCTTGAAATTTCATCCCACTCCATTTAGAATGGCAATCATCAAGAATACAAATAACAATTGCTGGCAAGGATGTGTGGGAAAAATCGTACAATTATATTTTGTTGGTGGGGCTGAAAATGAGTACAACCACTTTGGAAAGCAGTGTGGCAATTCCTCAAAAGACTAGGAGTGGAACTACCATATGACCCATCTATTCCACTCCTTTGTATTTTTTATTCAAAAGAAGTAAAATCAGCATACTATAGTGACACATGCCTACACATGTTTATAGCAGCACAATTCACAATAGGCAAGTTATGGAACAAGCCCAGATGTCCATCAATAGAGGAATGGATAAAACTGTGGTATATATACATAATGGAGTTTTACTCAGCCATAAAGAAGAATGAAATCATGGCATTTACTGGTAAATGGATGGAACTAAGTGACTAATCTCTACTCAGAAAGTCGAGGGTTGAATGTCTTCTTTTATATGTGGAAACTGGGGGGGGGGGGGAGCAAAAATAAATAAATAAATAGGATCTCACAAAAACAGAAGGGAGACCAGTAGAGTAGAGGAAGGGGTTAGAAGCGGGGGGTGGAAAGTATGGTAAGAGGAAATACTAGGGAACAAAATCTACCAAATTATGCTATATCCACATATAAACATACTATAATGAATCCCACCTTAGATATATAATTATAATGCACTAATTCAAATAATAACAAAGGAAAGATCAGTAAAGTAGAGCAAGAAGATTGGGGGAGGGAGGAGGAAGGAAAAAGGAAAGTACTAGGGAATGAGATCGATCAAATTATGTGAATGTACAAATATAGCATAATGAATCCCACTATTATGTATAGTATAATGCACCAATTAAAAAAAAAAAGAACAAGTAACCTTGAAACTTCCCAATACCATAAAGGTATAGATTTCTCCAAGACTTAGGGAAGCATTGCTGTCACCACCAGGTTGGCTGCTGGCTCCAGGTTGTGTCGGGAGGTTCCGGTTCAAATTTCCCAGTGCTGGGTTAAATGAGGGATGGAAATTGAAACAGGCAGACATTGCTATTCAGTCCAGGATGCCCTTCATAAAAGGCTGAAAAGAAATTTCATACTGTCCTGGCAAAGTGACAAAAGAACTAAAATGTTCACTTTGATCTTTTTATTTCTCCCAGTACTAAGGATTGAATCTAGGGCCTCACACATGCAAGGCAAGCACTCTACCACTTATCTATATCCATAATCCTTTTTATTTTTTATTTTGAGACAGGGTATTGCTAACTTTCCAAGGTTAGCCTTGAACTTGTGATCCTCCTGCCTCAGCCTCTCGGGTAACGGGGATTACAGTAGATGCCTCAGCACCCAGCCTACTTTAATTATTAATGTGAATTTGCCTTACTATTTATTCTCCCTCAAATGATGAGATCCTCAGCCTCATCACATTGGAAAGTTGGGTAAGGGATGAGAAGATGGGATGTGGGGCAGTGGGAAAAGGCATAGATTAAACATTAACAACGTTTTGTATTAAGTGGTTACCAATGTAACAGTTTGTATGGTTTGTTAGACAAAGTTTGTAAGGAAATTAGACAATGGAAAGAAGAAGATAATGTTGCTGCCCTCTGGAGTCTTAAACTCGAGTGGGAGAAACAGTTACCTCTAAATTATTTTGATCCAAATCAGGCTGAGATAAAAGCTCTGACAAAAGTACTAAATAAGCAAAGGACAGAAATAACTGTGATTTTGCAGATTTGAAAATTTACATGGTCCAGGGGAAATTGAAGGAAGCCATGAAAGGAGCAGGTCTTTGGCAAGTGGAGATGGGATGCTTCATGGAAGGTAGGAGGCTCAGAGAATTCAGAGGCTTAGAAGAGGTTTAGGCTGGCCAGGTAATGAAGCTGAGTTTAGAAGGTTAGGATGAAGTAAGATACTAAAGGGGATGCCCCAGCTTGAGGAATTTGGATTTCACCCTCTTGTATGCTGTTGTATATTTGGCCCATGATTCTTCTCATGAGAATACCACTGAGCTTCTGAAAGGTCAAGTCCCTCGCCCCCATGGTCCCAGGGAGCTGAATGAGACCTCAGAACCAGAACTAAGCCCCACTCACCCTCCAAAAACCCACCCTGACAGAGATGACCAGTAGTCCCAGTATATATTTACAGGAGACTCTTTTCATTTACCTGCATTTGTTGTGAAGGTTTTGTACTTTCCCTTTTCTGCTCCGGATGTTGTTTTTCAACATACTTTGACCTAAACATGGTTTCTAAAATATCTTGCATGATTGCTGATTTGTTTCTCAATTTAGGAGAAAAACTGGCTGGCTTAGTCATTGTAAGTGACTTATTCATTATGTGATTTTTAGGGATTTTCATTTTGAGAGCAACTTTAGAGAAATCTGGCAGCTGGCAATGAACTTGACCTTTTCCATATTTGAAGTCATTGCTTGAAGTTGCTTTTTCTGTCAACTGTTTCTGGGGTGTCTGCCGTTGGCAACTTTTTTGTTCATCCTGTGGACCCTTGATTTTAGTTAGAAAATTTAAATTTTCGTGATGGTTGCTATTTGCAGTCACAACTGGCTTTTCTAAATCACAGATATTTTCTTTTGTCATGATAGGAGAACCGGTGGGCTTACTGCTTTTTTTGACATCTCTTTTGGGGTTGAGTTGGTCAATGAATTCTGAGGTTTGTGCTTTTGGGAAAGAATTCTTAACATAATGTGAAATAATATTTTTAATAAAAGCTGTTTCATCAAAACAGTCACCATTACGTGCCTCTGGGAGAGTTTCAAAGTTAATACCTTGAACTCTTAGTAATTGCTCTTTAGAAAGATGATGGAGTAAAATATCAGAAACGTTTGACTTTGAAGCAGCTCCTTTAGTAGCTTGAACATGAAGAGTCATGGTGCGTTGATTCTCTTTATCACACTTTTTATTGGTAGCATTTTCAGTAACTTTATCCCACGTCATGGCCATGGCTGTATTTCTGTATGTTTCAACATGGGCAGCCTTTACTTTGGGGTCATCTCCTATTGGAATAACATCGAGGGTGTTAGTATTTCCGGTAAAATTGTAATCATTGCATATGTTCATTTGGGAGAGATCACCATCATAAGGTAAATCTTCCTGTTGCTTATAAGTTGTATCTTCTGAAAAATCGTTTTCGTCCATGATTGGGTAGCCTGATGTTTCTTGACCTCTGCTGCCTGGTCCTGCTGTCCTTGTCATGACAGTATATCTGGTTTTCATGGATTGTCTTCATTGTGCACCTTCTTCTATGGGAAATGAGAATAGCCACATTGTTAAATATATTAGAATAATGTACTATGATTAATTTGGTGTCTACGCTGAACGAAATGCATGCTTTTCATTTAGAGAAATTCAGTTATAAACATGAAGGCAGAAAACTCACCCAAGAGCTAACTCATCTTAAATATTCTATAATAGTAAAGGAAAACAATTTTCCCTCTTTTGTTTTTTTTCAGTGCTAGGGATCAAACCTAGGGCCTTGTGCTTGCTTTGCCACTGAGCTCCATCTCCCGTCCTCATTCATTAAATTTTGAAGGAGACATTGGTCTATAGTTAATGGCCAAATCTTTATTATTGTCCCTTAGGGAATATTATTTGTGTTTGTTCTCTCAAAATGAGAATTTTTTAAAATATTTTTTTTTAGTTGTCAATGGACTTTATTTATTTATATGCGGTGCTGAGAATTGAATTCAGTGCCTTATACATCTAGACAAGTGCCCCAAATAGGAATTTGGAATGCAAGGAAAGGAGGGATATTTTTTTCTTTCTTTTTTTTTGGAGTGGGGGAGACCAGAGGTGCTTTACCTCTGAGCCACATTCCCACATCCCCACCCTTTTTTATTTCTATTTTGAGTCAGGGTCGCACTAAGTTGATGAGGCTGGCTTTGAACTTTTGATCCTCCTGCTTCAGCTACCCCAGTTGCTGGTATTATCAGTGTGCACCACTATGCCCAGCTTAAAGGATGAATTTTACAATACCAAGGCCTTCATTTATCCACTCATTCCTGAGTAAGTCATGTGACATTGAAAGCCAGCTTAGCTTAAATATAACCACCCACCTTCTCTGTTCTGGTGGGATTTTTTTTTTTTTTTTTTTTTTTAGTTGTAGATGAACACACATACTTATTTTTATGTGGTGCTGAGGATCGAACTCAGTGCCTCACACATGCGAGGCAAGTGCCTTACCACTGAGCTACAGCCTCAGCCCCTCTGGTGGGAGTTTTTTTTTTAAAGGTTTATTTTAAATTGACCCATAATAATTGTACAATATTTATGGGATACAATGTGATGTTTTGATATAAGTATATAAATGATCACTCCATTAGATGGAATGATCAAATGAGGCTAATTAGCATGTTTATTCCCTCAAACATTCACAACCATTTTGTGGGAGAACTTCAAAATCTTCTCTTCTAGTGATTTCAAAATATACAGTACGCCATTGTTAACCATAGTCACCCTACTATGCAAGAGAACACCTGGACATTCTTCCTATCCTAACTTTGCACCTATGACTAACCCCTACCTCCCCCTGCCATCCCAGACTCTTGGTAACAGCATTCTGCTTGCTACTTCTTGGGATCATTTTTTTTTTTTTAATTCCACAGTATAAGCAAGATGGTGCAGTACTGTTTTTTTCTCTATTTGGCTTATTTCACTTAACACAATGTCCTCCTCCAGTTCCATCCATGTTGCCCCTCATTCTGGTGCTTTTCCACTTGGGCTTCCAGACATTCTGGTCCCCTCTCTCTGATTTTCCCTTGTATGTCTGAGAAGAGCAGAGATTGGGCAGAAATCTGACCAAGGGAGGACAAATAGGTTTTTTGAACTCCTGGAGGCCAGTCTGCAGCCAAATGTCCCTTTCTAATTAGAGACCAGGCGGGAGCCTGGTCAGAGGCCACCTTCCCCTGGGCAAGGCTGGCCGGCTGCCATAGCCCAGATGGCAGTGTCGTGGCAGCAGTGTCACGAGGATGCTCCTGAAAGTGGTCAGAGCTGTCAGCTCAGCTGCCATTTGGTATGAGTCCTTTTTTACTTACTTTCTTTCTTTTAAAAAAATTTTTTCTTTTTTTAGTTGTGGATGGACACAAAACCTTTATTTTATTTATTTTTATGTGGTGCTGAGGATCAAACCCAGTGCCTCATGCATGTTGGGCAAGTGTTCTACCACTGAGCCACAACCCCAGCCCCCCTTTTTTTCTTTTTTAAAAAGAAAATTTTAAACACCCATTTAAATATCTCTTCTTGATTTGTGGACTTTGTGTACAACTCCTTAGAAGTAGTAGAATTATATTCAGTTGTAGGTGGAGTGACTGAGGCTGTCTTGCCTGAGTACTTGCTAGGCTCTGAAGTTTTTCTAGCCCAGGATGACTATAGCCCCTGGCCACCCAATCTTGCCCGTCCAGTGATGGGTTTGGGAGAATGGATCTCCGTGGTTCTTCCTCATCCAAATTTTTAGAAGTCTACCAACTTGTGATAGATTACTTACCCTCAAAAGCGAAAATAATATGTTTGAACAACAACAACAAAAATATTGAGCTGAGTTCTCCAAGAAAAATGAGTACAAACTAAATGTGGTAAAGGCATCTGCAAAACATTATACAGAGATCTTAGTTCATATGTAGATGCCAGTGTTGGAAAACTCAATTAAAAAAAAAAAACACTCTGTTTAGAGAGGGAGAAGGGGTGATTATCACTACTGAACTGCCTCAAATCACTTATAGAGGCTAATGTTTAAACTGAGGGAGGCATACCTTCATAACCAGAATTACAAGCTACTCCCACTCAAGTTGAAGATTAAGGGAAAATGCTCCCCAGGAAAGTCAAAGGCATAGCCTGAAAGTAGGAGTAGAGAGACCTGACTTGAATTTTGCCTTCTTCACTCATTAGTTGTATACCATCTGGCTGGCTTGTAGACTTTTCTTTTCTTTTTTTGGTACCAGGGGTTGAACCCAGGGGCACTTAACCACTGAGCCACATTCCCCAGCCCTTTATTTTATTTTTTATTTTTGAGACAGGGCCTCACTAAGTCTCTTAGGGCCTTGCTAAGTTTCTGAAGCTAGTGATCCTCCTGCCTCAGCCTCCCAAGTCACTGGGAATTCAGGCATGCACCACTATGCCCACCATCAGATTTTTAAACTTTTCTCAGTTTGCTCTTTGAAAAATTAGGGGAGAAAATAAAATAAAAACTCAATAGAAAAGAGAAAGAGAAAAAAGTATATAAGCAAGTGAAAAATAGAAACAATATTACCCAGTTCTCAGGATTACTAAATAATGAAATGAGATAATACATGTAAAGTACTTGGCATGGAGTGCTTGGCTCAGAGTGAGAATTCAGTCAATGGTAAGTTTCTGGTTTTGTTTTATTTTGGTACTGGGTATTGATCTCAGGGATACTCTACTTTTGAGCAACATTCCCAGTTCTTTTCGTTTTTTATTTTGAGACAGTTCTCTCTAAGTTGCTGAGGCTGGCCTCAACCTTGCAATCCTCCTTGCCTTAGCCTCCCCAAGTAGCTGGGATTACAAATGTGCAGCATCATATCCTGCTGTCAGTGGTAGTTTAAAAAGGAAAAAACAAAACCAGTCTTGGTTTTGCAATACTGAAGAACTCCCAGGTACAGAAAGCTGGGCATTCCTCATCAAGGTGATGTTTAAAGAATAAAGAAAGGAGCGGAGCGTGGTGGCACATGCCAATAATCCCAGGGCCTCGGAAGGCTGAGGCAGGAAGATTGCAATTGTAAAGCCAACCTCAGCAACTTAGATAGCCCCAAAACAACTCATCGAGACCGTCTCTAAATGAAATATAAAAAAGGACTGGAGATATGGCTAAATAGTTAAGCACCCTGGGGTTCAGTCCCCAGTACTCAAATAAATAAATAATAATACATTTTTTTTTTTTAAATAAAGGAAGGAGGGCCAGGATTGTGGCTCAGTGGTAGAGCACTTGCTTAGCACGCATGAAGCACTGGGTTCGATCCCCAGCACCACATAAAAATAAACAAATAAAATAAAGGCATTCTGTTTATCTAAAACTATAAAAAAAATTTTAAAAAATAAAATAAAGGAAGGAATTGCATTTATAGGACATAATCTCTATAAAGAGCCTGAAAACGATGTTTAAAATCTACTTATAAAATGGATATGTTGTTTGAAGGTTTAAAATATCACTAATTAATTTAAAACAAAACATTGTCTAATTTTTGAGGTTAAAAATACCCAGAATTTTAAAAATGCCTAGAGAAAAAACAGAAAAATAAGACAAGTTCTAGTTTTGCAGTGCTTTTAATGACCTAAGGTACAGGCCAAAGCCACCCTCCTGCTTTCTTTGTAGACTGAGGGCTTCATTGCTGGATGCTAAGCCCTTGTCATTAAGGAAAAAAGATCCTCTGGTGGCCAGATCAAAATTCCTAAAATATCGTTCCATTTAAACTGATAAAATTTGATTTCTGCTGTGACTTTTAAGAAAAAGAAAGGCACCCCACCAAGATGAGCCAGAAGCCTGATGAGCTCTCTCATTTCACGTAGAAAAACAGTTTCTGTTGTTATTATCACTACTATTATTATTAGTATTACTAGTATGTGTGTGTGTGTGTGTGTGTGTGTTTATACATTAAAAATATCAGGAGCTGGGCATGGTGGTGCAAACCTGTAATCCCCATGGCTCATGAGGCTGAGGCAGGGGGATGGCAAGTTCAAAGCCAACCTAAGCAAAAAGGGAGGTACTAGAATACAACAGACACTAGTATTGCTGTATGTATATACATGGCTGTATAACCAACGTGATCCTGCAATCTGTACACGTGGAAAAATGAGAATTCATACCCTATTTGAATCAAATGTATGATATGTCAAGATCATTGTATTGTCTTGAGCAACTAATAAAAAAAAAAGGGAGGTACTAAACTCAGTGAAACCCTATTTCTACATAAAATTCAAAAGAAGGTTGGGGATGTGGTTCAGTGGTGAAGTCCCCCTGACCCCAACCCCCGGTACCCCCCCCCACCCCCCCCCCCCCCCCCCCCCCCCCCCCCGCCCAAGAAAACAAGAGGATTATTTCTAGAAAAAGACAGTTCACATCCTTAGCATCATAATAGCCCCTTACAGATATTTGGAAAGAACAGGAACATCTTCCCACGTCAATACTC